TGCGAGTCCCCTGGACTGCAAGGCGATCAAACCGGTCAATCCTAGAGAAGATCAACCCTGACTTCTCTTTAGAAGGCCAGATCCTGAAGTTGAAACTCAAGCACTTTGGCCACCTAATGAGAAGGAAGGACTCACTGGAAAAGAGCCTGATGCTGGGAAAGATTGAGAGCAATAGAAGAAGGGGACGGCAGAGAATGAGGTGGCTGGATGGAGTCACTGAAGCAGTAGGCGTGAGCTTAAATGGACTCCAGAAGATGGTAGAGGACAGGAAGGCCTGGAGGAACATTGTCCATGGGGTCGCGATGGGTCGAACACGACTTTGCAACTAACAACAACAACACCATGTTTGTGCTTGCCCTCCTCCCTTTTTTATATTCACATAAATTAGGAGAGTGTTTGAGGTGATTTCATGGTCCTCTCCTATCATTTGGATTCAAGCAGTAGTTTCCTTTTTATTGCTTTGTTAACTGATCTGCCCTCTCTCCATCAAATTCATATTCTTTGCTGTCTGCAACTTGCTTCTTCATACAACATTAACTTTGCCTTCTGCAGGCTGTTAGATCAGGATACTTTCCTCTGTCTACTGTTCTGTACTCAGATGAGCTAGGTAGGTACATAGATAGGTTTTGGAAATGTAAATACTATATTCTCTTTTAATTAGGTGATAGATGCATTAATAAATCACCTTCCTGAAATTCTCGAACTTCTGTCTACTGGAGGAGAAAACAGTGGATCAGAGAACAAGGTAAAGTAGATGAGTCTGCCAGCAGAATCATATTTTAAATAACAAAGTCCACTATTTATTAAAATTATATATCACCCATCTTGCCAAGGCGATTTTACATGGCTTACAATCAATCAGGAAAAATACCAATATAAAACATTAAAACAAATTTTTAGAGACATTCCATTTGAATTAAAATTAAACAAAATGATGAGGGAGGAAGCAAGCAAGACATGCAAAGGATAGAGGTGGGGTCTTATCTAATCTTATTTTACAATCTTAATCTTATCTAAGTACAATCATTTTTCTCACCCTGAAAGCACCTGAAAGTTGTTACTATTTTGCTTTCATTTGTGAGGCTGTGATTAGGTTACTGCAGAGGGAGAGTAAACCTTGAGTATCCTATTTTCAGTGTTGTGGGGAAAGCTTTGATAGTCTGTATGTCTCCCAGGACAGGTCCTCTTAATATCTTGGAGGGATTAGAGAAAACAAAATATAATTTAGAAGAATGAAAGTGGGAAGGGAGAGAAATAAGCAAGAGTCAGAATCAGTAATCTCTTCTAGTAGTAATCCCTGCTAGTAGTTTTTTTATTGGTACTCCCTTGATAATTATAAATAAATGTATCGTGAACTAGAAAAAGCTATACAGGAAAATACGGATGGACTAGTTCCTGAGGGTTTGAGGCTCTAGCATTCTCCTGCATATTATAGGTAGCAGAAGTGACCAGAAACGCCAGTTTACAGTTTAGGATCAATAACTCACATGTTAATTAAATCAGAGTTTGACTTTATGTATTTTATGTAAGTTTCAAAGATAATTTGAAAACTTTGGTACAGCATTCAGTGATGTGAATATTGATTGGTTGGGAACTTGTAACATAACCATGTGTGGTATGTGCTACTGTGTTTTAGCAATTCTGATTTAATATGTGTAATATATCTTTCCCTTTTCAGCTTTTAAATTTTCCAGAGTTAATTCCAGCACTAACAAGAGCTGAACAGAGGGCAGCAACCTCTTTAAAATGGAGGACACATGAGAAGCTATTACAAAAGTACGCCTGTTTGCCTCATGTCATCTCAAGTGATCAGATTTATTACCGATTTTTGCACAGAATGCTGACAATCATTATGACAAATGTGAGTTCTCAAATCAAAACCAGTGTTTTAAAAAATACCAGTGCAATTCAGTTTTAATTTGTTATAATGTATCAACAGTATTTTGATACTTATCATCAGAATGCATATATATATATAAAAGCCTAAATGTTGCACGTCAGACTTGGAGGAGAATTTTTGGATGGTAGAATGCTTGTTTACCTACTCTGGTAGACTGAATCATTGTGAGGGAATATGAACAGCAAGACTTCTTTTTCAGTTTCCATCTTTGTCTTGCTATAGATATCAGGAAAGCTGTTTGGAAGGGCTATAAAATAATTGTTAGCAATAGATGATGGAAGTACTTTTGTGTGCAGAATAAGCTGTTTCGTTTCCAATCCAATATCGGTGAGAAATGTAAGGAATACATTGTGACTTTATAAATTAGTCCACAAAAATAATTCTGGGGATTGATGTACAGACAGAAGCTGTTCTGGAGCATCATCCAGAGTCTCCTTGCAGACCACAAGGTGGATATGGAATGATTCTGGGACTCTCCCTAACCCAGGAGAGTTTTATAAACTTATTTGTAAATTGAAAAAGCTTCAGTCGAGAAAGAGCTTTCTGAACTGGTCAGTTGGCCATATTTACTGAAAGTCCAATAAACAAATAGATAATAAAAATCCTTTTAAAAATGCACAAATTTAGTGCAAAAGTACATTAATTTTTCATGATAATGAAGCTGAAATTGCTACCTTTGCTGCTCTTTTTTTCCTTTTTGCAAAATATACTAGTCTGTATTGTTTTTTGCTAGTCTGCCAGAAACTAATAAAAACATTTACCTTTTTCTGAGCAGCCCAATAGAGAAAGCTCAAAATGGTTCCAAGTATGCATATATAAGATATATAAGTGATATATAATATATGTATTATCTCCTCCTGTCAGTTCCAATTATTATTTCTTAATCATTTTTGAATCGTGCACAGCTTTTAATATGTATAGTATATATTGTGTAATGTGAGATTATGATTTGAATTTTAAAATCAACATAAGAAATAATAAAGATTTACAGACATAACTGCAAGATTGCAAAGCAAAAATAAGTATGCATTCTAACTATGAATAAATATGTTTATTTATTATTATTATTATTCTCCAAGTTTCTCAAATAAATATCAATATTTTTCTGCATTCACAGACTGCTGTCCAAAGGCCCTTTTCAGAGTGTCCTGATCTTATTGGGGTGGTTTCATTTGGTTGTAATGGGGTGGGGAGAGATCAAGTTCCAGGCTTCTCAAAGGTGGTGTGTTGCAAAGCTTGCCTTTCTTTCCACTCCTTTTTAAAATATATAGGAAGCCACTGGCTGGTGACATTTGCCAACATAGGTTAGGTATTGTTAGTATGTTATGATGCTTAACTTTACATCTCAACTTAGGTTGAAAAGGTGATGGTGTTGAAGTGCTATCGAGACGACAACAGGCTGTTCAAGTCTAGTTATGGAGGAACAAGTTGAGGCTTAATCCCAGTAAGACGGAGTGTCTCTGTGTTTGTAAACCATCCAATCCAGAGAGATTCTACCTTTAATTCTGATTGGGATCACATTCCCTTGTACTGAACTGGCTCATAATTTGAGAATCCTCCTGGACTCACAACTCCTACTTTAGAAGTAGGTGGCGACTGCGGTCAGGAGAGCCTTTGCACAGTTCCGTCTTGTGTGCCAGTTATGACTACTCTTGGATGGGAGTTTTATTCACAAGTCACTCATGCCTTAATTACCTCTTGCTTGGACTGTTGTAATGTGCTTTATGTCGGGTTAACCATGAAGAGCATTTGGAACCTAGACTTAGTACAGAATGCAGTGATTTAACCACTTGGGTGCACCTAATGGACCCATATAACGCTGTTGCTTAGAAAGCTCCACTGGTTATCAGTTGACTTCTGATTGTAATTCAAGATGCTCACTGTCACCTTTAAAGATCTTCATAGTTCATGACCTGGATATCTATGTGACCACCTTCTTCTAATATATCTGCCCACCTGATAAGATTAAGTAGAGTAGGGTTTCTTCATGTTGCCTGTCTTGGGGACTGTTAGCTGCGGGTTCTGCAGAAACACACTTGCTTTATTGCTCCCTCTTGTCATTTGGGAGAACATTTCCCACAACTTCTTTATGGTCCCTTCCCTTTTAATATTTAGATGGTTTATTAAGGTGGCTGTTCAAGTAGGCCCTGGAGTCTGAATGATTTGCTTGTCTCTCTAGCAGTGGAAATAATTCTAATCAATTGCATTTTACTCCCATGATTATGTATATACATTTTTATTGATTATATTGTTTATGATCTGAATCTTAGCTTCATTTTTATCCCAATTTATGGAGGGCAAATATGCACTTGTAGTCAATTCTGCTTGCCATGGTATATAAACCCATTAAATAAATTATAAGGAAGCAAACAAATTTCTGCCCTGAAACTTAATAGATGCTTCTTATTGAGCTGAAATGTGTTTATTTTTAACTACTGAATAATCCAATAAATTTTACAAAATTAAATATAAAAATGTCAGCTGTTCCATGTATATAGAATATCATCTAAACTCTAATAATTGCCCAGGGTAACAAAACAAAGCAAAAAAGCCCCTTTCAAATTTGCATCTAAATATGCTGATTTAAAAAGAAGCCAAATCAAGACGTAAAATATATACATCTCCTTTTACTGCTTGCTACATATTCCACATTCAAAAACTCACATACAGTTTGCTTATCTACAAATCCTGTCATTTCAATAACAAGTAAAATATACTGACTTTGCGTATGCATAATGTGTTCTCCCCATCACTGGCCCATAATTTGATTTAGGTGTTCATTAGCAGAATAAAAACATGCTTGTTTTTTCTCCTCCTGGGATGATCTTCTTGTAGGAAAAATTAAGTGATCTTAGAACATGTTTCCTGGTGAAAGATATAAAGCAAGCACCAAAAGATAATATATTCAATAAAAACTGGACTAGCTGTTAAATGATTTGTTAATTAATAGTCTGACTTCATACCGCTTTAAAAAATACAAGTTTGTGCTTCAAATTTTGAAGAAGACCAACCTTAAGTTGAATTTATCTCAGCCTCATTTCTGCAACATTTATTGATGCTTTATTATTTTGTCTTTTTACCTTCAACTATTATTTCCCTATCAATGAACAAATTGTATGCTTGATTACTTATATATAATCTCTTGTAGAATGAAATATATTTTTTCTCTCTTGAAGAATGTCCTACCTGTCCAAAGAGCAGCTGCTCGAACACTGTGTATATACTTACGATATAATCGTAAGCAAGAACAGAGATATGAGGTCATCCAGAAATTGATTGAACGTAAGTCTTGATGTCCTCTTTATCATGAGGAAGTTAATGGAATTTTAGTCAATACCAAGGCTGCTGTGTATAAGACGGGAAGGCCTCCATTTTTAACCATAGAGTAGATGTTTTCCACTATAAAGATTTCAGCTGCATTAGCTTCAAATATTTGTATGCAAGTTTACCATGACAACTAATATTCATGATAATCTTTAAAGAGATGCAGCACCATTTCCAGCACGCCAATAAGAATGTCAGTATTTAACAGGTATTCTGTAAGGTAGAGAGCATAGGCAGAAAGAAATTGGAATGCTAATGTGGGAAGCTGCTCCAGTAGTAGAGCCATCTTACGTGACTGTTGGTGGACTTTTCTACTTCTTAGCTATACAATTAGAACATTATAAAAATTACCTAAAGCATATTTTATAATTATTCTAATGAACTGATTGAGCACTATTACATTATATTTGAGAATATTAACAAGTATTTTTGGGATAATTAAGCACTGGATTTTCATTCATTTCTTCTATCAAAATAATAACTTATCAGTGTTAATGTTTTGTTCTCCAGAACTGGGCCAAGGAAAAAGCTATTGGAACAGATTACGTTTTTTAGATACCTGTGAATTCATCATAGAACTCTTTTCCAAATCATTTTTCTGTGAATACTTCTTTCTTCCTGTGCTTGAACTTACACATGATCCAGTAGCAAATGTGAGGTACTGTACAAGTTATATTAAATTAATAAAACACTTTGATTTATTCTGATGGCTTTGTGTTGCCATTTAATGCAGGTTGCCTTTTTTTCTGGAATAGAATTGATGTATTAGAACTCTGTAGATTGGTATCTCATTCTATATACCGTATTTTCCGGCATATAAGACGACCCCCAACTTTTCCAGTTAAAATATAGAGTTTGAACGAGAGAGAGGGGGGGAGCTTTGTCAGCATAAAGAAGAAACTAAGCTGGAACAGGGCTAAAGAAAACATTTATAGAGAGATGAATAGATTTATTCTTAGTAATGTTAATTGGAAAGTATTGTGCAGCTATCCCGACTTTCCTTCCTTAATTTTTTTTAATGTTAAGAAAGCAGAAGAAGCAATGAGAAAACATATGAGAATTGAAAGATAAAGACAATGATATCTAAATTACCCATACAATGCTGAGTTTGTGGCAGAGCAATTATATAACTGGAAATCTTCCTTAACTCTTTCCCTGAAATTCTCTGGAATAAAATCAAAACACTGTAATTAACAAAAGTATTGGGACAGGAGCAAAACTTGTTTCTGCACAATAGGCTTAGGTTTTTGAGTACAAATCTTAAATTTCTCCAGTTGACAAGAATGCCTATGATTTGAAAGAGGAAAAAGCTTCATTTAGAGACATATATAGTTAGTAGCCTAGGAGGTCCGCTGTGGAAACAGAATGTTGAACTAAATATGCAAATGATACCACTTTGTTATACTAAAATAAAACAGATTTAGAAGAACGCATTATGGAGGTCAAAGAGGAAACTGAAAGATCTAGAGACTGATCAGTAGTCCAGTGGTGAAGAAGTTAGGCCCAGTAAGCTTTGTGGGGAGCTGAAACAAGAAATCAAAGGCAATGTTAAATGCCATGGTTCGTGAATTCATGATTGGCAGTAAAGAAGCAAAGATGGTAGATAGAATTGTTTTCTTGAGCTCTAGAAGAGATAATGAAAAAGTGTGTGCTGGAGAATTACAGGAAAGATTATTTTTAGGAAGGAAGGTGGTGATGGAGACAAATTCAGGGTGAGGATATTTCTGTGATAACAAAAATCAGAATTGTTAAAGCTGTTTTTTCTAATGGTAATATTTATCTATGAAAGATGGACATTGATGAAGAGCAAACTAAAGAATATGAACACATTTGAATTATGGATTTGGTCAGTCCTGAATAAAATAAAAATAGGTTGTTCCATTGAGGCAGAGGTCTGCAAGCAGAAACTCAAATATTTGGAGCATGTGTTGAAAATGATTGATAATTAGAGAAAAAAGATTATTCTGTTTGGCAGTTAAAAATCATACTTGATGTGAGAGTAAGTTTGTCCTCTGTAATAGGAAAAACGTCTTGATCCTAAAGGAATCTATCCATCCCTAGTTCATCTGGTTCATCCAGCTGGGTGACACTGAGCCAATCACACTCTCTCAGCCCAACTCATGTCACAGAGTTGTTTTCAGGAAAGTAGTAGGAGGAAGAAGTAGATATGTTTGCCCCCTTATTTGTAAAAATAATAAAGGTGGAAAAAAATCTAAAATAAAAGTAAAATTTTAAAAAATCTCTAAAATGTTTAGAAATGTAATTACTCTACAGTAAATGGTAGAAAAATGAAAATCTGATTTGCATAACATTGCTTAAAGGTCCATGAAGGAGATGGACAGCAGTATGAAGAATTTCTCTATATAACAGAATCAGAACAGTCTTCTTTACATTTCCATAGATAATATCAAGCCAACATGAACAAATGATCTCTGTCAGATAATAGGGATTTCATCACCAGAAACAAAAAGCAGGTGGAAATGAGGGCCTTAAAGAATCCTTGAGAGTGTTAGTAGACATAGTAGACTTTTTCATATTTGGTTCAACTATATAAATATTCATAAAATAAACTCAAGGGAACAGGTTTTTTGAAATTTACTAGTTTAAAAAGATAAAGACGTTTTTTCAAAAATTATATATACCATCCCTTTGAAATACTCAGCATGCTATTATCCTTGCTATTTTAAAATATATGTATTTACTCTACTCCTGTCTTGTATTTACTGCACATTTACTGCAAGAAAAGTTGATGTTAGGTGCCATCAGTTTTGCTCCAACTCCTGATGACTGCATGGACAAATATTTGCAATAAGACATAGCTCTTTCAAGATCAGTTATCTCCCTGATATTGTCCCTCTACCTTATCTATTGCCTTCCCTGCTTCTCCTTCTCCCAAACTGCCAAACAAAATAATATTTTTTCCCTAATTATCAATCCTGTCTATTTTAGCAACCACCATTTTACTGGGCTTTAACTCTTCTTTTAAGTCTTTGGAGCATAGACTTTATTTACTTCAATATTATTTATCACTTCACAGTTTTCATGTTTCTGTTTATTTTTTTAACCTTGTGTATATCTTCAATTTTTTAAAAAATATAAACATTATTTCCCTGTATAGAATGAAACTTTGTTATTTATTACCAAAAGTGAAGTCAACCCTCAAGGTTCCCACAGACAAACATTTACTGCAGCAGCTAGAAATGAGTGTAAGAAAACTTCTATGTGAGGAAAAAGATAAAGACGTCTTGAACATTGTTAAAAAAGTATGTGAGGTTCTTTTATTTATTCAGTATTTTTCTTATATATTTATAATAATTCTTAAGATAACAGACTTCATTGTACAAAATCATGGTTTGCTTAATGCAACAATTAAATCCAAGTAACCGCTTGGTTTAGTATGATATGTGAATCCAATTTATGAGTTGCAAAGTTTTTGAATTCTGTTCATGCTGTTCATATTTGAGATAAATCAAATATAATGGTCTTACTATAAATGTATAGGAACATATAGTTACAATGAATTTTGGATCATATATAGTTCAAATGTAAGCATTCATAATTAGAAATCTCTTATATTATGATCAGTAAGCTTCTGCTTAAAGAATGTTACAGGCTTCTAGTAGGTAGGCATCCCAGTTCCCAAGCTAGCCTGGTATCTTATCCTCTGGATGAGTCTATGTCCTTTCTAAAATTGCTAGTAGGAAATCCAAACCATTTGAGATTCTTTTAAAACAATTATGGCAAATCTATAATAATACTAAATCTTTTTTAATAGATGGTACTAGAACTTGACAGAATGGATACCTCTTTAGATGCCGTAAGTATAAACTCAAATGATAGCAGTAATAATCTGCTGAAACTTCCAACATGATTGCTGATCCTCTGGTTTCACATTTGAACAGTTTCAGAAGAGGTTTTATGAAAATGATCTATTGGATCAGCAGAAAGAAAGAGAGGAACAACTTCTTTTGGAAATGGTATGTTTATTGCATGAAAAAGGTGTTACTTGACTATCATCCAAAGTATCAGTGAATTCTAATTAAGGTTTACAATTATTTTTTATGAATTTGCATTAAAATGCTCTAAAAATTCTTAGGCATTTACCTTATTCTTGAGGATAAGATGTGGGGAAATGTTGGTCAAAAAGACACTGAATCTTGGAATAATAATAATAATAATAATAATAATAATAATAATAATAATAATTAAAAAAAAAAAAAAAAGTTGGAAGGGACCTTGGAGGTCATCTAGTCCAACCCCCTGCTCAGGCAGGAAACCCTATACCTTTTCAGACAAATGGCTGTCCAGTCTCTTCTTAAAAACTTCCAGTGTTGGAGCATTCACCGCTTCTGGAGGGGAGGCAGGTTGTTCCACTGATTAATTGTTCTATCAGGAAATTTCTCCTTAGTTCTAGGTTGCTTCTCTCTTTGGTTAGTTTCCACCCATTGCTTCTTGTCCTGCCTTCAGGAGCTTTGGAGAATAGCTTGACTCCCTCTTCTTTGTGGCGGCCCCTGAGATATTGGAACACTGCTATCATGTCTCCCCTCGTCCTTCTCTTCATTAAACTAGACATACCCAATTCCAGCAAGATAGATTTCAGGTTGCTGTGAGGAGAAAACGCATTAGGAAGCACATCACCAAATGTTTGATACTAATAAGAACTGGTATGAGGTGTTAATTGCACTTCACGTTACATCATCTCAGTAATCCTAAAATGTAGTCAACATTATTCTCATATTATGAATGGAATCATAGTGGCTTGCCTAAAAGTAACATTAATTCATTGTCAGCTCTGGCATAGAACATTTCACTGTCTACTGTGGACCCCCAAAATTATCTCATCCTATGTTATTTTGCTTCAATATTCAGATGGTTCAGATGCCAGTTTCTGCCTTCATACATTGCTTCACCTCATCGTTTGGTGAAGTTAGTTTATTTTGCTACATGGGAGGACTTGCTTTTTTTCATGATAGGCATGATTTTAATAACCAGGAAATTCCAGAGTATAATTACACTCCCTTCTGTGTGGACTCTATTTTTAGCAACTCTAGATATTATGCCATATATGCAATTGAGACCTTCAGATCTAAATCAAGATTACTTTGGAGGAAAGTATTGGTCTCCACAAGTAGAATATCTAATCAGAGAAACAATTGATTTCCCCCAATCTGGGTGCTCTCCTAGAATTTTACAGCTGTGTCTTTTTTTTTTTTCATAGAGAAAGCAACCAAACAGTGTGGTAGCATAAGAGGAGAGCTTATTTATATATTTATGGCTTTATTTTTAGGGGAGTTTGGCAGCTTCTGCACCAAAATACACTGTGAACAAACAATTCTTTTATCATTGATAACATAAAGCATTTCAGGCTGTTTTTTTAACCTAGGCAGATCATAAAACCATGCTAGCACAAAAGCTGCAGCCTATTAATCTAGATTTCATTTTTCCATTAACACTTTTATTACATTGTTTTCCTACTAGGAGCAATTAGAAAAAGAGAAACAGCAAAATGAGAGCAGGTCTACAAATATGAGTGATAAAATATATGAAAAGAAGCGTAAGTTGATTTTTGGGGGGTTGTTTTCTTTTTCCAAAGATTGGCTTGCTTGCTTGTTTGTTTGTTGCTTTATTTATTTAACAAAAAATGGTCAGCTGGAGGTGGTAGATATTATTGTATTAATTAAACCCCTCTAGGGATAGTTGCTGCTAACTTACTATAAGAACATGTTATAGCAGTGTATTTGAAGTAGGAAGTCCAAACTTACATTATGGAAAAGACCCAATTCTTATTTGCTAGGAAAAGTTTCCACACAAAATCATTGGAGGCCAAACTATTGACTGTTGAGGGCTATTACTTGAAATGGATTTGTACAATTAGCAAAATATATTATGGAAAAGCCTTATTTTTTATAATTTTTATTGCTTTTTAAATAATAATATTATTATTGCTTTTTAAATAAATGCAGCAAAAGAAGAAAAAACAAAACATAAAATACATAATAAAAATTACAGTGCTTTAAAAATGAGTAAAAAACTACAACAGAAAAGAAAGAAAATATAATATTACATTATTTGTATTAAGTATACTTTTGTACACTGGCACCTTGAAGCCATAATTAATGATGGGGGAAAGTTAAAAAAAAATTGCTCCAAGAAGTAGAAGAAAGAGAAATATGAGGCTAATTCCTTCTGTTTTGCATTATGATTTCCTAAAGCCAGTATTTTTGTTTCCTGTTTTGCTCTACCAGCATGCCACTCTACCACTCATGCCACTCTAAGTGTAGAAACAAACAATATTGAGTTTATTTCAAGCATCAGCTCTGTGGATTAACTCTTCAGTTGACTTGATTGCTGATTGTGCTGATAAAGAACTTAAGTTAAGCATAAAACCTTGTATTGAATGATGGCCTACTTTTCTGCAGTATCTGTAGAAAAGCATGTTACATTTCAGTGAAGTTCAAAATTTGGCACTTGATGATACGAGTGATAATTTGCATTGCCCAGTAATGCTTGTAATATTTGATGAATTGTGTTTAATTTCAAATAGTAGAAATATTAGTTTTGTTCTTGTAGTTAATCTCTATCTATACAGTGCATATAATAACCTTTGTTTTAGGTAGAGACAGTAAAGCATCATCAACGTTGGCCAAAACTATCCCAATGTCTGTTTCTGGAAACCCTTCAGGTGCTTCAACAAGTAAGAAACAGATCTCTTCTGCATAATTTTTTAAAATCAAATCTATATTGCAAAGAACATAAAGGAATAAGTAGAAAAGCATCATGTCTCAGGTGATCTGTGGAAGACATTAAAGCATGGATCTTCAAACTTGGCCCTTTTATGACTCATGGACTGCAACTTCCAGAATTCCTCAGCCAGGATGCCTGGCTGAGGAATTCTGGGAGTTGAAGTCCATGAGTCATAAAAGGGCTGAGTTTGAAGACCCCTGCATTAAAGGTATGCCTGCACTGGAAATACTCTTAAAAATTCAGGAAAATATTTAAAAATGTATCTGCCTTGAAAGTAGCCCATATTGAACTGTATAGCACTGCCAAAACATCAGGAGTTGACCAATAAAATGTTTTATGAAATGTATTATGTCATGTATTATGATTATGATAGTTTTTTGGTCATAAAATGTTTTATAAAATTGGCCAAATTTCAATTTTATTATAGTCATGGATCCTGAATTTTGGATGCATTTTTAAATTAGCCCATTTGAGCCTTAATGTCCCCAGCTGGAAAGATAATATTGACTTTTTAGCAATCATTGAGGAATTGAATGTTTAAAAATTAAATGTGCTTTTATCTACCTTTCATATGGAAGTTATTGCAGGAGAAATATTAAAATAAGATGAATGAGTGAGAATATATTGCATAAGAAGCATGTATAGTAAAATTAGAGACATGCCCAAAAATTATTGGATGATGAACAAATGTGGGCTGATATAAAAGTGAATGACCAATATGTAAAACATAATTGAGGTGGTAATACAGAGAAAACAAATGGGGATGAATTGTAAACAAATATGAGGGGGGGGAGATGAATGAGCCAAGACAAAGGAGATGACTAAGAATATTTTGTTAGGTGAGAGTTGATGAGAGTCTCAAGAAGAAAGAATTGAAAAATTTAAAGAACAAAGGCAGCATAAGAAAATGGTGGAAGTAAGGATGATTTGCAAAGATAGGAAGTTATTGAAAGTTATGGATATTGGTGTGAACTAGATACAGTTTTTCTTGTCTCATACTTTCATGTTTCCCCTTATGATTTGAACTCTTTTTCTGCATTTTATAGAATACTGCTTACCTCTAAAAATAATAACTGATGGGTATGTGCATGTGGGTGAATGTACTAATTTGGGGGGGGGGTGGAGTTTCCCCAGGTAGTTCTAATCTCATTTTTGGTCCAGGTTTTGCAGATACCTTTCTCCTTGTTTTCTATCTTTAATTTCTTTGTGTTTTTCTTAAGCTTGTTTACCATGAAAAGGAATTATGTGATGGAAATGTATATATTTTCCACCTTTTCCAGGACTCAAGATGGTAAAGATAGCACAGTATAATAATATAAATAATAGGACTTCAAATTCTAATAATCATTGCCTGTATGGTTAACTTGTATTCAGTGAAATTAGATCTCATGTCTTGTCAGAATTCCATAAAATTAATAACTGGACCTTTATGTTCAGTGAGGATAATGGTTTTTGGAACATAAACATGATTTTAAAAAAAACAATATTCATGCCTATTCGCATTACTCATTGGCAGATTATGGATTGCACTTGGAGTTATATATTTGCTAAGAAAGAGCTATATTATTAATTATATTTTTTCTTTTAGGCAAAGAAGTAAAAAAGTCTAAATTGGTTAGAAGTCAGTCTTTCAGTAGTCAAGCTATTCAGTCAAAATATGGCAATATTGACAAATGCTCCAGGTATGTAATATTTTGTTTTCTCTAATGTTAGGTGCGTGACTGTAGTGTATAACCTATACTGTAGCTGCTCATTATGGAAGCATAACATTTGCTTTGCCAATTCCAAAAACCAAAAGTAAACAGTGGGATACCACAAGGCTCCATCTTAGGCCCAGTACTCTTCAATATCTTCATCAATGACTTAGATGAGGGAATTGAAGGGGAACTCATCATATTTGCAGATGACACTAAACTGGCAGGAATAGCCAACATCTCAGAAGACAAGCTCAGAATTCAAAAAGATCTTGACAAACTGGAACAATGGGCCCTATCCAACAAAATGAGTTTTAATGTGGAGAAAAGCAAAATTTTACATTTAGGCAGGAAAAATCAACGGTTTAAGTACAGTTTAGGCGAGACCTGCTCAAAAACAGCAACTGTGAGAGGGACCTTGGAGTCCTGGTGGACGATCACTTGACTATGAGCCAGCAATGTGCAGCAGCTGTCAAAAAAGCTAATATAATTCTCGGTTGTATAAATAGGCATAGAATCAAGATCACGCGAAGTATTAGTACCACTTTATAAAACCCTAGTGAGACCACACCTGGAATACTGCAATCAAATTTGATCACCATACTACAAAAAAGATGTTTAGACCTTGGAAAAAGTTCAGAGAAGAGCAACTAAGATGATGAAAGGCCTGGAGACTAAAACATATGAAGAATGGCTGCAGGACTTGGGTTTGGCTAGTCTAAAGAAAAGAAGAAATAGGGGCGACATGATAGCAGTATTCCAGTATTTGAGGGGCTGCCACAAAGAAGAGGGGGTCAGATTATTCCCCAAAGCACCAGAGGGAAGGATGAGAAACAATGGTTGGAAACTGATCAAAGAGAGAAACAACCTGGAATTAAGGAGAAACTTCCTAACAGTGAGGACAATAACCAGTGGAACAGCTTGCCTCCAGAAATTGTGGGTGCTCCATCACTGAGGGTTTTTAAGAAGAGCCTAGACAGTCACTTGTCTGAGATGGAATAGGTTCTCCTGCTTGAGCGGGGGGCTGGACTAGAAGACCTCCAAGGTCCCTTCCAGCTCTATTCTATTCTAAATAAGGAAGGGCTGAAAGGAAAAAAAAAATCCTTTGAGTGATGTGCCATACTTTAAAAATTAAATGGATAAAAAACTGGATGGGGCCAAATGTGTTTATATTTTTAAAAAGCTAGCAAATATTTTTTCTGAAGGCCAGAAAAGCTAGCACATGGAGGGGAGGGTAACTCCTGTGATAGGCCAGAGAAAGGAAGCTCGGATCTTGCAGATTCAAGTTTTCCTTTCTTCAGCCCAGTACAGCAGTCCTTTTCTGGACACAGATGGGAGGAGAATCTAGAATCTTCTAGAATCCAGAAGATCTAAGCTTCCTTTCTCCAGCCCAGCACAGTGGTTGCCTTCTACACACAAAGGGGAAAGGAACTCCTTTGATAGGTTGTCATGTGATCACTATTTGCAACATTCTCTACTGGCCTTCCCAGAAAAATCAATGGGACAACTGGCAGGGAAGGTTGTAAGCTACTATTGCCTGCCAAAGGATATCCCCCTTCCCTCCATTCATAGGAGAAAGGGAGATTCCTTTGCTGGGCTGCAGAAATGAAGCTTGGATTACTGCATTGAGGGAAGGGGAACCCCTGCACTGAGCTGGAGAAACGCAGGCCAGGAATACTTTTTCATACACAGAGGGGAGCTACATGCCCACTTTTGGCAGGCAGCTATTTCACTTTGACCACTCAACAATCCATGCGGTCATTTAACTATTACAATTGGGAGAGCCAGGATTGCGGTGGTTAAGCAAAAAGACCATTACCACGACTTACAATCAAGATTTCAGGTGTAATTGTGATACCAGTAATAAGTTGAGGACTATTACTTTATAATTATGTTGTGTAAGGTTGTGAACTGTCTTGAAATCTCTGAAATGAAAAATTATAAAAACTAATAATGATAAGTACACATTATAACATTCCCATTATATTTTTGTTATATCTTCAGCAAAAGTTCTTCAATAGGCTATACTTCTGTGTCAGGAGTAGCAAAGAATTCTATGTTCTCATTTACTGGTAAGAAAACTGTGTTACTTTTCATTCATTCATTCATTCATTCATTCATTCATTCACTTATTTATATTTCATACTTAACTGTTCATCTCCCTCAAATAAAATAATATTTTATTACAATTATTTTAGTGGCTTTGTTTTGTTTTTAAAGAGTCCAATGCCCTTAGTTTTGTCCCAAATGCAAGAAATTATATAAGCTAGCATACCTGCTTGATAATCAGTGCATGCAACTAACAAATTTTTTTTAGCTCCCAAACAAATTAGTTTAATTATAATTTGACTTTCTGAAATTTTATATATTTTCTTTTAGATGATTCCTTCCGAACTCGTCCCAACAATGTCAGTGGCACTGCTGCTTTTAATTCTACTTCCACCTTACCATCTTCTTCTCGTAACACAAATAACACAGTTGATCAAAAAAGCAATGGGAATAAAGAGAGCCATTCACGGAAGGTTAGCTTGTAAGTGATCAACTAAAATTAGTGCAGAATTAAAGATTACAATAAATAACTGATTTTTCATTTTCACACTTTTAAGTTGTTTCTCCTACTCAGGATGAAAATGAATTCTGTTTCTCCTACTCAGGATGAAAATGAATTCTCCTACTCAGGATGAAAATGAATTCTGCTTCTGTCATTTCCACAGCTATGTCGAGATAATTATTTATGATTGTTTTAACCACTGTTTTAGCAAGTAGTGGTTACAGATTCATTCTAATTTATTACTAAGACTAGACAACCCATGAATTAATGGTTTAACTCTTCTGATTTAGTATTGGGGAGGCTATGCCTGTTTTGGTAAGCTGTTTCATCTCAAAAACAATGTTCCTGGCCCAAATATACTGTACAAAGAACTAGAATTATTATGGTAGTTCTGGTTAGTATGATGACTAAAATAATCATTACACTGGTTTTCAGGAACAGCTGCAATTGAGTTATCACTGTCTTTTAATGCTGCTAGATGTGGGTAAGAGTAGTGTGGAATTAGTATTCATTATCTCTATGAATCACACATATGACTTTGCACTTGTACTGATCATCATTCTGGAATAATAGCTTTAGATTCAAATGATGGTCTACAGAGATACAAATTCATATGTATGAATGTACTGATAATTAAAGAACCATTGTTTACTTAGGCACTGTTATTTTGCAATTTTATTCATCAGCAGCCTGTATTTTTTGATATTACAGGTAATCCTCCATTTACCACTGGATATTTAACAACTGTTTGAAATTACCGTTGCCTCAGAAAGAGTGCTTTATGGCCCATAAAGCACTTCTGGCTATCATAAAACATTGTGCTGCTCCCCCTGTGATCACACGACCACATTTGTGGCATTTGGCGACCTGTTCACATTTAATGACCAATTCCCAAGTGCCCTGTAATCATGTTATTGCCATTTGCAATCATCTCTGTTAACTTTCTCAGAAAGTCAGTGGGGAAGCCAACAGGGAAGGTTGCAAGCTGCTGCTGCCACCACCTGCCTGAGAGCTCCCTCTTGTTCTTGGGGTTTGGCTGACATTGCCGTCTGCTGAGTTGGACCCTCAGCCCCTCTGTTAGGGCTGCAGAGATGGGGCTTGGATCGCAAACATCTGAGCCCTGTCTCTGCAGCCTGGCAGATGCGGAGGCATGTGCACATGGAAGAGCACTGGAAAGTTTGTGAATATAGGAAGTCTTCAACTTGCGACCACAACTGAGCCCAACATTTCTGTTGTTAAGTGAGACATTTGTTAGGTGAGCTTTGCCCCATTTTACAACTTTTCTTGCCATAGTTGCCAAGTGCATCACTGCAATTGATAAGTTAGTAGCATGGTCGTTAAGTGAATCTGGCTTCCCCATTGACTTTGCCTGTCAGAAGGTCGCAAAAGGGATCACACAACCTTGGGACACAGCAAAGGTCATAAATATGAACCAGTTGTCAAGCATCTGACTTTTGGTCACATGATCATGAGGATGCTGCAAAGATCGTAACTATGAAAAACAGTCATAAGTCATATTTTTCAGTGCTGTTGTAACTTTGAATGATCCCTAAATGAACTGTTGTAAGTACTACCTGTACCTTTGTTTTGAAAACCAGAAAGATGTATGATTGCATCTCAGTTTGTATTTCAGTAGTGTTCATCTGGAAGCTGTGGGAATTCCCAGATACCTGAATCAATTTTCAGTTTACAGTAGGCCTGTAACTTTCATTTGTAGTTCATTGCTGTTCATAGAATTTCATCCAGAAAGTAGTTTTATCCACAGGAGACTTGCATCAGTGAGTTTTGGAAACCGAACATATTCATTCCCATTGCTAGTAAATAGATTGCGTTAAATGAGTCATACTCAAATAGACAGCAAACATGAATCACAAACATAGGTAATTACAAAAGAAGTATGTTCTGTGACTGTTGTACTGCATTTGGTTTTATTATCTTTTGTATATCTGCTCATTGTGAAGAGCTTCAGATATTTTCTTTCAACATAATAACTTATATTCTTACACTCCTTCACAAAGCATTAAAATATATAGCTAGTCAGGCATTATGTGTTCTTAAGATGAATAATTTTAATGTGGGTTGGGATAAGTAATACTTTACCATATGGGCATGTACTGCTAAAGTATCTGGTAATGTTCTAAATAATTCCCTTAATTTAACATTAGTATTCAGAAATAAATATCTTTAACAAGGATATAGGAAACTTATTCACATTATTACCCATCAAATTAAGGTATACAAGTTACAATGACAGACAGGTATGATTGCTCTGGCAATATTATTTATGTTTAAAATAGTTGTCTTTCAACATAATCTTTCTAACAGTTAAGCAATGGTAGCAGAAAAGAAAGCCACTTTGGTCTGGGGGTTAAGGCACCAGACTAGAAACTAGAAGATTATGAATTGTAGTCCCATATTGCTCATGAAAGCCCACTGGATGGTTTGGGGCCAGTCACTCCCTCAGCCCAATTAGATGAGAAGCTAATTGGTCAATTCCTGTTGCAACCAATGAGTCAACACTCGGTCGATCTGAAAAAAGTGCACTTGTGGGTAAATGCTAGGAAGGGAAAAAAAAAAAAAGCAAAAGACCACCTTGAATTGTAGCTGGAAGTCGCTTTAACTCATGTGGCAGCAATATTGCATGAGGACCGGCTGAAACTTCTAAATGCTTTTTACGGACAGCCTGTATAGAGCGTGCTGCAGTAGTTCAATCAATAGGTGACTAAGGTGTGATTGACCATGAAATGTTTTCTGATCCAGAAATGAGTACAAGCTATAATTGTACGAAGGTTTCTTGGCCATGGCTGCCATCTGGTTTTCAGGCAAGAACTGTGAGTCTAAGAGGATCCTCAGATTGCAGACCACCTTTGCATAGGCGAATGATACCCTATCCAAATTTAACAATGGAAATTCACGGCAGGGGGTGGTGGTGCAAGTGCCAAATCCACAACCATTCAGTCTTTTTAAGCTTGAAGGTGATCCTCCCCTACCAGACGCACAAGTATCCAAGCACTGAGGATGCACCTCATGGAAGGTGCATCCTCATGGAAGGCCCAGGGCCCAGGGCAGTTGTATAACCATATATTGTCAACATACTGATACCCACATGCTTACAGATGACTTCACCCAGTTTTCTGTATTGATCACTATTAAAACAAATGAGTCCGATTTAAAAAAGGATTTTACAATAAAATTATTTTAATATGTATGTATATATTTTTTCCAAACCAATAGTTTAAGATTTGTGTATTCTGAGGTCCATATGCAGACTTTTCTTTATTGCATAGTAATGGATGGACAATTTCCACATAAAGAAAATCCACAGGGTGTGGGAGATGGGTGGAAAGGAAGCCAGTGGAGTTGGATGGCACAATGGTTGGGAAAGCGAGTGCGCCTTGAATCAAGAATATTCTTTTTAAAAAGCATCGCATTGTTGGATTTAGAAGAAATAATGTTGATTCTTTTTACTTACAATACATGAGTCTAAGATCACAACAGTTTTGGAGCTGTAAACGATGACTGCAAGAAGTTAGCAGTTCTGAACACTGTTAATTTGATCAGCTCTGTGTGATAAGAGTGTTTTTCTTTCTCTCAAGGAAAAACAGAAAATCAAACTCCTAGAGCTGGTGAAAGAAAGCATGCACACCAAAGACCACCAGAGGCAATGTGGCTGAAGCCAGGATTGGACAAAGCTAGAGTACAACCTTGAATTTAAGGACCAGGAAGGAGGGATTGATTTGATACCATAATGTTAACATCTTCTGTCAATTAAATAAATTCCTATGTTGTAAAATATCTTCATAGAAATAATGTAATATGTGCAGAATGCCAATGTTGTAAGTGAAGTGCTTAATTCAACGTTACTTTAGCAATGTGCTTTAAATCTGCTGCAGCTAAAGAGACAGGGTTTCCCTACTTCCCCCTCTCAATTATGCCTTCTACTAGTTCAGGTTATTCAGTTTGGAATGAAAGTGCCCTCTACTTTAAAATATAGCTATTTACAAGCTTATGGACTCCTAATTTGCCTTCGCTATGGAAATAGGGCCATATGTGTGAAATTGCTCTGCGTATAAGAATTAACTGAACAAGTGACACTTTCTCTTTCAAAAAAGCTTTTAAATATCGAAGAAGCTTCAGTGTGGAATCTGGAAGCATGAACAGAGAAATGTGGAGAAGTGTAGTCCTTTAAAATAAACTGCTATAATTTTAGATAATATTGCTTATCTGGTGTATAAAATGTCAAGAGGATTTCTTTTCACTTTTTAATAAGAAACAGATACCTCCAAATAGCATATGAATGATTTCTTAAATTTCACATTGCAATTTTATTGTACAAATACTTTGTTTTAATTTACCAGTATAGTCTTATTGTAGTTTCTCTTTATCCAACATTTTAGAGATGATTAATCTAGTTTTTAATTAGTAGTTAATTCAAGCCATCATGCTTTTAGCTATATCAACATCATTCTGTTTGTATTCATGCTAACATTCCTATCAAAATTTGCCTGCAAAATGCAGTTTTATTTAAAACATTCAATTTATGCCAATACTTGAGAGAGACTGTATGAAGCTATTGTCAGCTTCTCTACTTCACAATGCAATCAGCAAAACTATATTGATATCAGACTATCTGTTTTTTTAAATATGTTGGTGTATGATAAAGATAATCTAATTTGTGAATGAATAAATGTGTGGTTACTTTTTACAATGTGAAATAATGAATGCTTTATGCACAATAAAACTTAGGCCATTAAAATACTGGCATGTTTTGGGTGGGAGAGATTTAATTTGCAGCTTTTAATTTAAATTAAATAAAAAAAACAGACAGGAATATTCTGTATCCACTGCACTAGTGATTAATATGTACGCAGCATAGCAAAAATTCTCTGCTCCTATAGTAGCGAACCAACCCCTTGAACAATAAGCTATTCACTTAAACACTAAAGTAGCAATACCTGGAAAGGCTCGTTGATTAGAGTCTGTGCTGAAAATCTTAGTTTCAATACCTGGTCTTTCTAGATGGATCTGCAAATGATATCTGTCTGAAGCTCTAGAGAACTGTTGCCATATTTAAATGATATTAAGCTCCATGAACTGGTGGCTTGCCTTGGAATGAGTGGGGTTTTTTTATATTCTTAAGAAACGTACATTCACGGTATCATGCAGAGAGCATTCAGCAATCCAAACATAGCAACTAAATTTCTCCATAATGTTTCTTTTTCATCTCATCAATAGACACTGTCCCAGATTTCAATCAGTGTCAGTCCTTTTTTTCTTAATTAACAGCAAATACAGCCTTCTCTTATAATGCAATTCATACACTGTTTCCCAAAAGTGAATCTTTCCAGTATTTTAGGGTATTGCCCTTTGCTGAGTGCTCCATAATTATAAATTCTGTGATCAAGTCTATATAGTAATCCTTTGTGTTCAAAGAAGAAGCACTGTGGTGCAGTTATCCTTGGCACAGAAGTGACACTGCAGTCCCAGTCTGGAGGTGTAGAGTCTAGTAAAACGGGCCCCGGAAACCCATTGTAGTAACTGTGGGTGTTACACTGTGATGCCACTCACTTTCTATACGTTTTGGACAGTGCTGTCTTCAGTGCTGATGGAGGCTTCATAGCACAGAGCTAGCCAGTAGGTTCAGTCAACAACCACAGCTTCTAGTTCCCTTGGCTGGATGACCCAAGGTTTCTTTTGCAGTATCTTTGAGTAGTTGCACGGTCAACCTTTTGAGGTCTTTTCTCAGACTCTGGTATGCTATAGAGCACAGGTCGGCAACCTGCAACTCCGGAGCCGCATGTGGTTCTTTGAGCCTTCCCCTGTGGCTCCCAGCCTCCTCTGCCATTTGCAGACAGAGACAGAGACAGAAAGAGGAACTTGCGCTTCCCTTCTCTCTGTCTCTATCTCTCTTTGTGTTTGTGGTTTTGTGTGTGTGTGTGTGTGTGTGTAAAAGAGAGTAGACTCACATTGTTCTCCGACAAGCTGAAAAGCTTTTTGGGTGGGGCTCCTCCCTTTGCTGCGTCTCTGCAGGAAGCAGGAAACAGGAAGGGCAGGAGAGAGGTAGCTAGCGCAGCTATGCTGACTCAGGAATTCTGGGAGTTGAAGTCCATGAGTCTTAAAAGAGCCGAGGTTGCCTACCTCTGAGCTTGTTGGAGAACAGCTTGAAGCCAGCTTGCCAGGTGAGCAGAAGATCGGAGAGAGGGAGAGGGGGGGGAGAAAGAGAGAGAGGAGAGGAAAGAGAGAAGAGAAAGAAAGAGAGTGGGGGAAGAGGACTGGCAGACCAAGGGCAGAAAGAGAGATGGAGGGAGGGAGGGAGAGGGACAGAGAGAGAGACCCTTTTGACATCTAAAATGAAGATAACACTGCATATATCCTGTTTTACCTTTATGAGATATATGTGTGTGTGTGTATGTATGTATATTTTAAAGGTAAAAGCTATATGCAGTGTTATCTTCATTTTAGATATCAAAAGGGTTTTGCGGCTCCCAGTGTTTTGTTTTCGGTGGGAAATGGGTCCAAGTGGCTCTTTGAGTGTTTTGGGTTGCCTACCCCTGCTATAGAGCAACTGGTAAGGCATATGGTGGTCATCCATTCTGATGACATGTTCCACTCACATCGTCTGGGTTTTGATAATCAGGGATTTAATGCTGGTGGACACTGTGATCCAAGACTTCCAGGTTGGAGATACAATTTTGTCAACATCTGCCAAAGATGGACTACAGAACACACATATGAAATTTCAGGTTTTTTATGTGTCTTCAGTACAGTATTTAGGACTCACATCCAAATAAGAAAGAAGGAATAACCATCACTCTGGAGGCTTTCAGCTTTCTAGAGATGATAAAATATGATATGTTGATAAAGCACTCTAGTATGCAACTAGTGCCTGGCTGGCCTTGCTAATTCTGCAGTCAATTTCTTTGTCCAAAGATGCATCACTAGAGATGATGCTTCCCAAGTATCTGAAGCTGTTTACATTTGTCAACTAGGTGTCATCAATACTGACTGTTGGTTCTACAGATATCATTTGGCATGGGCTGCTAAACTAGTCCAGTCTTGTTCAGACTGATAATCAAGCTGATTATCTGATAATCTAATCAGCTGATAATCAGAGCCATAGCAGTGTCAGAAATTGTTCAGCATCAACTGGAAATCACTGTTTTTGTGCATCAGGAATGCACAGTCATTAGCAAAGAGGGTTTCTTGAATGACTATATAGAAGCACCTTGTGCACTCAAGTGGTGAAGGTCAAAGAGGGGGCCATCCAATTGGTACCTGATATACAGTTCCACCTTCAGACCCCAGACAAAATGTGGTAACATGCAAGTGAAGAATAGATTCAATAGAACTGGGTTTAGCACACAATCCTGTTTTACTCCATTGGAAATAACAAACACAGCTGATGTATCACCATGATAAAGAACCTGTCTTGTCATTCTGTTGTAGAGTAGCTGAATCAACCTCACAAATTTCCTTGGACATCCATAATATCTCAGGAAGATCCAGAGAGACTCCTCCTTTATAGTGTTTAATGCCTTTGTCAGATCAAGAAAGACAGTAAAGAGGCATGTTCTGCTCAATGCATTTCTGGACTCGCCTCATGTCAAATATGTCTGCTCTACTCCATTCTGGTTGAAAGCCACATTGCACCTCTGGGACGTTCCTTTCAAAGACAATGACAAGTCCTTTCAAAAGAATGAAGGCAAAGAACTTGCCTGTGTTGGATAGCAGTGAGATACCTCTGTAGTTTCCACAATCTAATTTGCTTCCCCACCTCTCCCACCTCTCATTTTCATGTTAACTGGTACATATTATTTTCCCTTCCCTTCTGCTGCTATTAGAGCTTCTCTCCCTTGTAACAAGTGCAAAGTTCTTATTGTAGATCTGTATACTTCAAGCAAGACCAAACTGATGAGGATAAACTCATGAAGGACTTGAAATAGTTTTGGTTGACTGCTTTCAATGACTCTCTAAAACAATGCAAATGATCAGCTGTCTGCAAGGAATATAAATCCTTCCATTCCCCACCATCCAGTTAGAGCGGAAGAAGCTTCTTGGATGAGAAGTGAAATGTCTTCAAAGAAAAACAAAAAAAGTCCACTTGCCTCCTGAAAAAGCATCTTTGGGACAACCACAACCTGGATGACTGAGAATCTCCATAGACATTGCTAATAAATGCTTTTGATAGCAGCATTAACTTGTAGCACTATGCTGTGGTTCTAATTCTGATTAGCTTGCAGAAAACATTTGTAATTTCTTTATGTTGCGAAGAGGACCCAACTACTTCTAACAGCAATAAAGAATATATATAATACACTGAGCCCTCTTTAAAAAAAAAAAGTACAGTAATTTTCAGCTGTATTTAAAGTGTAGACCTCATGACCATAACAACTGAACGAAGGATACTATTTTGTCCTCCTACTCTCCCCAAAATCAGGTCCCTGCTTTTTATATATCTTGGATTAATAATAATAATAATAATAATAATAATAATAATAATAATAATAATAATAATAATAATAATAATAATAATAATAATAATAATAATAATAATAATAATGGTAAAGTTGGAAGGGACCTTGAAGGTCATCTAGTCCAACCCCCTGCTCAGGCAGGAAACCCTATACCATTTTGGACAAATGGCTGTCCAGTTTCTTCTTAAAAACTTCCAGTGTTGGAGCATTCACCGCTTCTGGAGGCAGGTTGTTCCACTGGTTAATTGTTCTAACTATCAGGAAGTTTCTCCTTAGTTCTAGGTTGCTTCTCTCCTTGCTTAGTTTCCACCCGTTGCTTCTTGTCCTGCCTTCAGGCGCTTTGGAGAATAGCTTGACTCCCTCTTCTTTATGGCAGCCCCTGAGATATTGGAACACTGCTATTATGTCCCCCCTCGTCCTTCTCTTTGTTAAACTAGACATACCCAATTCCAGCAACCGTTCCTTATATGTTTTAGCCTCCAGTCCCCTAATCATCTTTGTTGCTCTTCTCTGTACTCTTTCTAGAATCTCAACATCTTTTTTACATCGTGGTGACCAAAACGTGCCCATTATTTTTGACATACTGTTTTGTGTGAATGAAGATGGATGTGGGAGCTTTCTCTTCAACTATGCTCCTTTTTGCTATTTTAGTGTTGAATGCTTTGGGGAAAGGGATTGTGTGAATGTAATCTTTTCCATTAAATTTTTATTCTAATTCTATTTTCCTGAAAGATATTGCTTGCTATGTATAATAGCATAAGAGGAAAACATCGTTTTGAGGAGAGAATTTTTGGTGAAAATATTTTAAGAAGGAAAATGTTTACCTGTTTTCCATATCCCTATATTTTTCTCCTGAAAATTAAGAAGTTAGTGCAAAAGCATATTTAAAATGTGTTCTTAGTATATAACATGTAATTTGACTTGTGGTGGTGGGAGGGGTTATGTCATTAAAATAGGATGCATCAAAAAGAAATTACTGGGTTTTGTTTAATTCACAGTTCTGTAGGGTTAGTAACTCTGCCCAAAAATAATATATTCTTGGTAATATCTTCATATATCATAAAAATAAATGGCCGATTTAGCCGGATAGTATCAGGCAAAGAGTATGCCATGATTTCAGATACACTGACAGCTGCAGCTTCTGTTCCTTTCTCATCCACCTCAATGCTTGCTCTTTGAAGAATCTAAAAAGAATGGAAATATAGGGAGATTTTTAGTAAGATGCTCACGTTTCCTATCAACTGGTCTGCCTCTTCAACACAGATTTCCACTTACTGAAAATTGAGCATGCATACCTTTTTTTCACTTATGTGGAAGCGGCATCCTAAATCCACAGCTAGAAACACTTTGTCTCAATAAGAACATACTGGGGATATGCCAGCATTGAATTTTAAAAGATAAACATTCCGTAGAAGGGAAATTAGGAAAAAGGAAATTAAAAGGGGCAGTCAAAAAGACCCAATCTCTCCAGACTTATGGACATGACTGAATCTCAAAAGTCACTAGGATAGTTAATGAACACAGTCAAGGAAATTATTAGCAGGAAGCAGGTTTCCTCTAGGACAGCGGTCCCCAACCTTTGCGGCTGGCGGCCTGGCTGGGGGGGGGAGAGGGGAACTGGGCAGTGTGAGCAGTGGGCTGGCACACATGTGCACAGCTTGACTTGTGCAAGTTGAGCTGTACGTGTGTGTGAGCACAAGTGCACGCTGGCCCACTGCTTGCATGAGTCAAGCTGAGCATGTGCACATACACATGCCAGTGCCCACCGCTCGCACAGTCCGGTTCCAAATAGGCCACAATCTGATTCCAAATAGGCCACAGCCCATGTTTTAGGGACCCCTGCTCTAGAAAATAGAGAGAACAAGTGAAACATACAGAAATGTGCAGAAGTGACAGTACTACCAGATTTGAGCTACAAAAAAATCACTAGGTGTCAGCAAAGAATTCAGTGTTTTCCATCCTACACAGAAGTTTGCAGCCCAGATTTGTTATCCCTAAACAAAAGATGCATAAAAGAAAAATTGTTCAGCATTTTGCTAAATACATGAAGACCAGCAATTAAGAGACAGACAGACAGAACCAGGGGTGTGTGAGTGGGTGGCTAGTAATGGTAGTAATGGAGGTTACGTGATTGTAGAAAATCTAAATGAATTGATGGTCTTTTTGCAAAAGATTTTGAGCAGATATTTGATCATGAACTCATTTTTTTCAAGAAAAAGAAACATTTGAAAATGAAGAATATATATTTACATATCCGATAGTGATAATTAGTGATAAAATGCTAGACCATATATGGCAAGAGATTATTGAGCAGAGCAGTCTGTTTAATACTAGTTTGCCAACATCATTCTCTGGACCCAAACTAAAGGCAGTATTGTTTGGTTGAAAGCAATATAATAGCCAATGATACTGAAAATCACTAAGAGATATATAAGGATTAGTAGAGTCAACTGTCTCAGATCAAATCCTTACAAAAGCCATTTTCTAGTTGAATAAGATAGTTTCAGTCGCATATATCAACAAAGGTTGCTTGGAATGAATTCAGATAGTCTCATCCAGTAAGGTCTGAAATTCAGAAGGTCTTGCACAGTGTTACTACATAATACACAGGATCGGCATACATACTATCAATATCATGGATTAAATCATGTTTCCTTAGCTTGTTACTCTCTACAACTCTACAACAACTCTACAAACTGCTAGCTATCATGATCTTGACTGCTGTAACTATGCTGGAAATTTTCAAACTATAGTCAGATATATTGAATTGTGGTCAAACTCTTTGGCAGGTTCAAGTCACTGAGAACTGAGAACTAAATTAGATTCTTCCCCATAGGCCACTATGTATAATACTAAATATTAATATTTTAAAATAATATATATCTATCATAAAATAAATAGTCTGCAGCTGGTAGAATTTGGGATGCTATTTTTCTGGGTTGGAGACATTTCCTGATAATCTGATTTCCTGATAATAAGATGGAAAACTAAAAGGGATAGTTGCAGAGGATCACAGTGCAGGTAGATTGGATTATTTAGCATGAAATGAGAGTTAAATTCTGAGCCTTTCCTACTCTTATCAGAACATGTAGGTTCATGCTATTCTAGTCATTTCTAGTTAACCTTGAATATTCTTAGGAGCTAAATAGTTGTATCATTTCAGTAAAGTTAATCTGTAGCACTTATCCAAAATGGTTCTGGATATGGATCACTCAATGAGGTTGAATCTTGTAAGGGCAAAAACCCTATGTGTACAAATGCAACATCAATGACTAGGCATGATACATTTGTTTAGATCTATACAGATCATGAATCGATGCAAGCCTCATCAGTTATGATCATGTAACTCATCAATTTGTGAACTATAAGATCCTGTTCCTTTTTTCTATTGCCTCCAACTAATTAAGTAGCTAGCATGACAAAATTAAGAAACCCACGTATAGCAAGTGGGTCTCCAGTAAATGAATGGGTCTTCATGTTACTTGTTAAATATATTTGGTTGAACAATATAGTAAGCTGCAGAATTAACCAATTATTTTTTTACCTGTGATATTTTTACGAATTTATGATTTGTGAGATGGCTTAGGTCTGCTTTATAAGAGAAAAGATCTTTAATTCCCAAATCCTGAAGCAACTGATCCATGTGATATGTCTGATCTAGTTTGAAGCTTGGAAAGTAAATATCCATTTTCCTGTAATGCAAACAAATATAAATGCAAGTTGAAGGAAAATGTGCATACACTGGCCTTTGTATATTCAGAAAATGTGCAAAGATAAATAGAAGGCAGCAGAACATTTGCATATTGTTCCCCTCTTTCTGGATGCTATGAAAATTTGAGCACCAATGATACAAAGGCAATGATTGTGACAAGTCTTGCTTGAATTAATTGGATAAGTTCAACTTGTGGAAGAGGAAGCTATATGAAAATTTCAGACATCTGGAAGGCTTTCATAAAAATGATGCAGAAGATTTTACAGAAGATATAACTTCCTAAATAAATAAAAGTTGATCCTTTTTCTTAGCAGATTAGATAATAGGAACTCAATGTTTTTTATTTATTTTTGATGAAGCAATATATTGTAAAAATAAAAAGGCTGTCTTTGGCAAATTTCAGTGGCCCATTCCCAGTTACTTCCTTTTCTTCCTCTCCTTGTCATTTCTATTGTCATTTTTTTTTTTTTTTGAGTGGCCATTTTAATTTGTACTACAGGATTTTCTATCCAGGATTTTAGGAATAAAAAATGTGAAGTGATTGCTATGACTTGTACCTGATCTTCATGGTCTTAAGCCAAGATTCCACAAGTTCATTGGTTAAATCATCTTCAACAAACATATAATCAGCTTCCTTCACAGGCATAACAATCAGCATCTGCACACTTCCTTTGTATGGCAGCTTTATCACATAACACTGCAAGGTCTTATCGAATATGGCAGCAATTTTGTCTGTCTTGAACATCATTGGCACTTGGACAGTTCTGTAATTATCTATATAAAAAGTTTCCAGCTTTGTAAGTTTAGCAGAAAATGGATGTAGCCATTTGCCTGAAAATGTAAAGAAATGCAACATGTTATTTTATATTGTGATATAATCCAGAATTATTGAGGGAAAATTCAACAGTAATCCAGATACAAATCAGCCTGATTTACTTCAATTTAAAGGTGAATTTGTATTATTCCATAGTATCACTGAAACTTTAAATCTATATTGCACTCTTACTGTATGTTTGAATCTTTGGTTCCGATCCAATTACAGGGGCTAATGACAGTTTCACATGAGATTCCTTTTCATAAATAGGACCTGCACATTAACTAAGTCTCTTGTTAGAAAAGTAGTGATTAATTATATGAATCACCAGTTCAATCCAGCCCCACTTCATTTTGAAAAGCTTAGAAATGCTACTGCTTACTTTTTCATTCTGACTGGCTCCATGCATCAGTGGCAGTTCTGCTTCACTGTCACAGATTAATACTGTAGTGTCAGTGAGCTCCATGATCAAATGGAGACTTAAATCTGGACTTCCCACCACTTGAGAATAATCCTACTCAGTATATTTAATCCAATATTCATTCATTCATTCATTCATTCATTCATTCATTCATTCATATCTAAGTATTATCCTGCTCTAACCATTTCTTGGTTCTGGCATCACCTACTTTGCTTGCAATGCCAAGGCCTCAAGTGAGAAGCCAGAGGCACCACATTTGCTATCTATGCTATTGACCAGTTTCCTCTTCCTATCAGGGATTTAAAAGTCTCCCATTCCACCATCATTCCCAGCACAACTTTCTGGGATCAACAAGACTTCTTTGAATAGCTATGGAGGCAGAATAGCTATGGAGGCTCCATCACAATGTTTTTGTCTCTTAAAAGCTATTGCCTTACTGTTCAATGTGATCGTGCCAATTTTTCCCCCCACCCATCCACCAAGAAATGTTTAGTTACTTCCTTGTAACCTCCAGCTACAATGGGTGCCATCCTGCATGCTTTCCAGTTGCTTAAAACACACTGAACCCTCTAGGATTTAAACCACCCCTTTATATTCAAGATAGCAGATGTACTCGTCCTCCCTCATCTCTCAGCAACACACTTCAGTGCGACTTTGCAATTAGAAAAGAATCTGAGCAAGAGCTAAAAATAAGAGAAGTGAAATTAGCAATATTTAATTGCAATAGGCTTTTTAGTTGCCATGGAGCCCTTTTCAGATATTTGACAGGCAACAAACTATGCTGGAAATATCTTTCTGATCCCATTCACTCCCTTTTTTTGGTTATGAAAGAGACAGAGAAATTAAATTCACGATATTCATAAAAAATTAGAAATTCAGCAACATATAGCCCATGCAAGGCAATATTTAATTGACCCTCCCATGAAAATTGCAAGAAGGTATAATGAATTTGCACATCTGTATGAGTCCTGGCCTGGCTTCAAAATCATATTTATTGAATATTTGGTAGGGGGAAAGAATTCACTTGATAGTTTCACTACATTCAGCGCAAAGCATATACAGAACTCTGTACACAGAACTCCTTCTGGACTTACCATTGCATTCACAAAGCTCAGAAATGGCATAAGGAGGCATTGTCTCATCCCACTTTCATATATAGTATTCTTCATCCCTACTGTAGGTCTCTTAATATATTAGTGTGAGAGAAGGTGCCATTTGAATTTCCCTTAAATACCATTTTTTTAAAAAAAAAAATTAACTGGAATTTTCCTTCACCTATGTCCTGAGTTCAGACAAATAGGATAAGAAACATGTTAATATGCTAAATGATTACACAGCAATATTTGCATATCCACTTTTCCAGATCTCTCTTTCCCTATCTGGTTCTCAGGTCACAGAAACCAGGACCTATGCTGGCTGGAGGTTCTAGCAACTAATATTTTAAACTATTAAGAGTCACCAGGTAGGGAATATCATGCTCTGTTTTATTATTGTAGAGCTATAGAAAATTTAGTTTCTCACTCCTGATTTATACAATAATTGTTTATTAAAACTTGGGGGATCTTTTATGTGTGTAGGTTCAACTTCAAAGAACTTTTGAAGAGTCATTTAGGTAAAATGTACCATGTAAAAATTGTGTCAATCAATCAACTTCCCTTTGAAATTATGGCTTGATATTCTGGCCCAATTAAAAAATAGAGTTCTGAAAATTTCATAGGAACATTCAGGGGCTTTGGTAATTTCAGGTTTTTCCAGTGACAAGTTCTACAAAACCATGAGGAATTTATATATCATGAAGGTAGTCCTCAACTTATAACCAGTGGGTATTCAAAGTTATGACAGACCCCCTAAAAGCTACTTGGTAAAACTGTGGTGGCACAGTGGTTAGAATGCAGTTTTTCAGGCTACCTCTGTCCACAGTCAACAGTTCAATCCTGATGGGGCTCAAGGTTGACTGAGCCTTCCATCCTTCCGAGATCGGTAAAACAAGGACCCAGATTGTTGGGGGCAATATGCTCCCAATATGCTCAGAGAGTGCTGAAATGCATAGTGGAGTGGTATATAAGTCTAAGTGATTTTGCTGTTGCTATTGCTACTTATGACTAATTCCTAACATTAAAGCCACAGCAGCACCCCCTCTGTCATTTGTCCTTAGGAACATTGCAGTACCCACCTGCCGATCTTCCCCTATCTATCTCCCTCCATGGTCCCCACTGGGTCTCTGCAGGCCTTGGCCCTGCTTCCCACTCGACATTCTCTTCCTCACTTATCTTTGTTGCTGGGTCATGTAGTGTGATCTGGAAGTGGCTGCCATTTTCTGAGTGGCTGCATTGAATTGTGGTTGCTCAGAAAATGGTGGCCACTTCCAGATTCATGTCACATTGCCCAGCAACAAAGTGACAATGCCAAGAGGTAGGAACATTGGTGGGATTCAGCCAGTTCGCACCACTTCAGCAGAACCAGTAGCTAATTTTTTGTTGTCCAGGCCCAGAATGGACTTCTGGAAGCGACATCCACACAGAGAACCAGTTGTTCACATATTTGAATCCCACCACTGGGTAGGAAGCAGATCATTGAATGTCTCAGAGAGTGAGTGATGTCTTAGGAGGTCTGGGACAGGTGGGCCTAGGCCTGCTATAGGCCTCTAAAGGCTCCCCCCATCCCTGAGGCACCCATACTCTGCTTAAGGACCCACATAGTCATTTAATGACTGCATCAAGGAGAATATAGTGGTCATTAAGCAAAGCTGTCTCGCTTAACAGCTGTCACAACATGCAACCGTAATGGGCAGGTTCATTATGGCTGTAGGTCGAGGACTACCTGTAACACTATATCTTAGATTGTTCACCTGTTATGAAGGCAGAGAATTGCCTTAAATTTTACATGAAATAGCACTGTATATTACTGGAAGGTAAGTAATTTTCATAATGTACATACATTTCTCCTACCTAAATACCACTGGCAACATTTGCACTGCAAGTTCAAAATAAGAAATGAGGACCAAAAATGATAATAGCCTTTATGCATGGAAATATCAATGAAGTTAAAGTATGTCAGATGAGAAGGATTATTGATGTGAACCAATTGGCCTTTCCAGCCATAAACAAAACATACAGGAAAAGGAATAATAGCTATGAGAATGGATCCTTCTCTTGACACACTTTGGGGGACTAAGTTAAGGAGGGGTTGCCCACATTTTTACAGAGAGACACTCTTATAAAGCTACTGTAGCTGGTGCCCTGAGCTCTCCTCTTTAAAAACTATGAAAGAATCAATGAAAAAAACAGTTACCTTGAAATAGTATGTAATTCAGCAGAATGATTTTAGTATGCTGATCAAAATCATGAAACAGTGTAGGGGTTCCCCCTCTTGTGTTCTTTTTAATGTGCTCATTGACCACTTTTTTGGCAAGAGTAGAGTTGCGGAAATCAACTGACAAAAATTCCATATCAAAGTATTGTTTGGACAAGTTATGGAAAGCATTCTTGATCTGAAATTCTTCCTGGATGAAGGAGAAGCTATTCTGTGAAAGAGTGAACTCTTCATTTTGGGTGATGTTAAGCCTTAGTTGTTGGAACAAAGTCAGAAATTCTTCATCTTTTTCTTTCAAAAATGGCAGATTTAGAGATTGACTTATTTGGTGGCAGGTTTCCCCTTCTGAAGCCAACATGAATATTGCTAGAGCAAAAGACAGTGACAGTGGGGAGAAGAAGATATTGTTGTCATGCTGCAGTGCTATTTTCCTGTAGAGATTGAAGCCAAAATTGTTAATGTTTTCTGTGAAATTGTGCAAAGAGACTAATGGTGAGGGGCTTTTTCTAGACGACTCTTGAGTACTATTATGTGGATAATGTTTATCAGAATCATTGAAAGGGAAGAGATTTAACACTAAGCTCTGTGGTACCTCGACTCCTGATTTTTCTGCAATTCCATTTGATAGGTACATTTCAGCAATCAGTCCAAAGACGACCAACAAAAAATTAGTTTTCATTTTGCACTTTGGTTACTTCTTTCTGGTGAACAGAGTAAATATAAATTGATGACACAAGTTAGTACTGTAATTAAAAAAGAAAGGATGTTTTGGCATTTGGAGGATATAATAGAACCCCATCCAATTCATTTATCCCATTTGTCCCAATATCTTTTCTAATGTAACATCAATGGGATTATCTCATGTTACTTTATTTCACATTAAGCTAAATTGAGATTAGGTTTGGGAAGTTCTGGGAGGGGTGGGGGGTTATTGATTGATTATTGTGTTTACTTATGATTGTTTTTTATGATGGAAAAAATAAATAAACTTTCTTATAAAAAAAAAAAGAGATTAGAAATCTTTCCAAATTCACTTAGTTTTCACTCTTACACTGAAACAACACAACACACTAATGAAAATACTAAAGACATTTCTACATTATTTCATATGTAAAAGGCCTTACTAAAGATGTAAATATTTAATAACAGAATCCCCATTAGATTTGGAGCTGATGGCAAGACAATTTTATGTAATCTAATAATGGAAGCTCCGTTGACCAGAAAGGAAGAGATTCTAGGCAAATTGGCTTATTTGGTCCAGTCTGATAAGATCATATTTTAAAAGAAGGACACTTTGAATGCACTTTTACCCCCCCCCCCCATAACAATATATAAATTATTTCCACTTTGCAACTCATAATACTTTTCATTATAATTTTAAATTAAATGCAAATGCTTCTATCTTACCCGCAGGACAGCCTCTTTTTTACTTTTCTGAAGCCTGAAAAAGAAAACAAGTTAAGTGGAATGGTGAGGTAAATATTTGCTATTCCAAAGTGTAGCTCCATAGTTTTGTCTGTTGTAGATTAACTGGATTACAAACAAGGATGCCTTTGTTTTGCCACAGAACAGATTTAAAGATGAAATAACCAGATTCCAATAAGTAGGGTCTGTTGGGTAGCTGGATTTAAAATTAAAGAAATAAACAGTAATAAAGGGAAGGATAATTGTCATATTAAAGGGCTGATCACAACCTCTAATTGAAATTAATCAATCATTGATTGCATAGTACCAAGTGCTGCCCTTACTATATCCCTCCTAATTATGAAAACAACACTGTTTCTTTGTTTTTCATATGCTAAATGGTCTTCTGACTGAAATTGTGTACTTTCAATCCATTTCAATGCACCGATGCCAAGACACAAAGTTTGTAGGTGACACATAGAAGAACAATTGGTCTGTAACTTTGGGGAAGGTTTGCATCTTTCCCTGGTTTCAAAATTGCAAGGATATCATGATATTAGAAGCAATATGCAGTTATCAGAATCAGTGACACTGTCAGGGAGACTATGATCCTATGCAAGATGTTCTTACATTCTTGAATGTGCCACTACCAATTATCCCCTCCTGACAACACTTACATTCTTGCTTCCCTTTCTCAAGTTTTAAAATAATGTATGTATATTTTGTTCAACCAAACCCAACTTGGCTGCAGAACCTGGCTGACTTTGGAGTCATCTTGTAAGCTAAATATGTTCAGCCTAGGTGAAGTTAAGAAAAATATCCCAGAAGAAGACAATGAAAAGTCATATCTGCCAAGAGACACACTTAAACTGGACTCAAGCCCTTCCCATTGCCCTGTTTTATCAGACCTCAATGGGACATAGGATTACAGGGCTCTGCACCCCATGGCTGATTTCTGCCTGTTAGGGGACCCTAAATGGGCCTGAAGTCGCCCCGGAGAGGCAACAAAGAAGGAGGGAAGCTCCGCCGACTGTGAAGAGATGGCATTTGATCTGGTCATTCAGGGAAAGCACTCCAGAAACTAGCAGGAGAAAGGCTAGCTTAACTCCAGAGTCTAGCCCAAGCTACCAGCAGCTGAAACCCCAAAAGCACTGTTTTAAGCTGACTGTAAACAACGTGCTTGGATCTGGATAAGAACATTGATTTTCTCTCTCCTATTTGATAATTGATTTCCTGGGGGGAAAAAATCCAAGAAGCAAAAAGCCTCTGAAAATGAGAAGGAGGGGGATCTTTGCCCCACCCTCCTACTGACGGAAGAGATTAATTAGCCTTTTTATGGGGGACAGAAATATACTGAAATGAAATTAATATAAGACCTAAATCTGGTTAAGTTTGAAATTGGTGGAATTTGTTAAGATTTCCTTTTTAAATCATGAAAACAGAAGACAGCAATTGTTTATTTTGAAAACTGAAAAATGAATTGATGCTGACATCTAGTGGTGAATGAAAATATACAATAGTAGTTGCTCTAATACAGGAACTGGCAAAGCCCAGGAAAAGATAACTTGTCTTTGTGACCTTCAATGCCTTAATAACAGAAAACAGCTGTGACAAAAAAAGGAAAACATTTTGGGCTACCTACAAAGTGAGAATTACAAATTTTAGAAAAAAAATTGACCTTTCTAGATTATAAATACTTACTCAGCTGTGACTCTAAAGCTGTTTGCAGAGAAAGGAAAACCCTGATTTTTGGCTATCATGGAAAACTAGAGATCTGCAGAAAGAATATACCAAGAAAAAACAAACACTTTCTAGGAGATCTATGCTATGTTGCAACTAATTCAAACAACAATGATCTCAAACCGTGAGGAAATTAAAAATAACTTTGAAAATATAAATGAATACATCTCCAATTTAACTTTACAACAAAAAAACTCTCACAAAATAAAAATAGAGAGTGAGCAGATAAAACAGACAATTGAACATAAACCAGAGGAAAGAGATTTAAAGATTGAACCTAACAGTAGAAGGAAGTGTGACTTAACCCAGGTGGAAAAAAACTTGCAGGAAATACTGGATATGGAAAAGATAACTTATACTCTACGACCACAAAATAAGTCTGACGACAAGAAAAAAAGACTCAACAAAATGGATTACAGAGATGTCAGGAGAACTATGAGAACTTGAGAGATAAAAAATGATAAGAGAAATTAAGAGAGAAAGAAAGGAAAAGATCTTCAATGAATAAGAAGGGCCGAAACCGTCCCATAAAACATCTTACTTGATTTGCCTTTTGTACTTACAACAACATGTACAAGACTATGGGAAGACGCTTTGATTCAGTGGAGCATATTGATCAGGAAAGATGTTTGGCAAAAAAAAAAAAGGCTAAAGTGAGAATTAAGAAATTATATGATGAGATTTATCAGAGGGAATATTTAAAAATTAAACATCTGTTTGAATATGGTTAAAGAAATAGAAATATTTTGGATATAAATGAATTTTAGTTTAAGAGGGATGAGCCCCTCAAGTAACATAGTATTTTTTTTCCTTTTTCCTTTTGGTTTTTGACATGAGAAATATAAAAATGTTGGGATGGTTTATATAAAGGAAATGTTTTTGATATTTTAGTGTAATTGATCTTGAGAAAATTTCTATATATATATATATATATATTGAGAATACAAGTAAAAATACGACTCTTGGGAATATCCATTTGTTAAAACAATGATCACCAAGAGAATACTTAAATAAAATTTAATAAATCAACCTAGCTTTCGTCAAAATACATATGACATCATCAGGGTTAAAAGGCAAGTAAAAAGGGGGGGGACTTATATACCGTTATCAAGTGTCCTGTTATCAAGCGTCTGCTTCCGGCTATTAGAGCGCATCATTGGCCCCAGCTGTTCAGAGTATAACTCAAGCTTACCTCCTTTAATACACCTTCTTTTATTACTAACTCGCATTCCCTCACACATCACTCGATTGGCAGCTTTGGAATTAAGTGGATTCAGGATCAAGGTCTTCCCCCCTCCCCCGTGTGTGACTCCTTCATTGCCCTGCATACGGTTACACCTAGGGAGTGGGGTGGGGGGGTATCTGGATTAACTCCAGTATCCCCCTGAATCACGAGTTCACTTCGGTCCTGTCCATTCGTCCCTTGGAGGTGCACTACAGATTCTTCTCCCCCCCGTGTTGTTCACCTTTCCATCTTCCCTCCCGTGCACCATACCAAGGCATCTGCTGTCCGTTCCGATCACCCTCCTCCCATATATGCTCAAAGCGTTCTTTGCTGCCATCCCATTGGGAGTGCTCCATTGTTCGGTCCGTTGTCGTCGGGCATCACCTTCCTTTACACTCAACTCCTGGTCGTCGCCCTTCTCAGGGCTCCTCTGCCTTGATCGTAACTGTTGTTTGGTGGCCCGACCTCATGCTGAGTGCACCGGAGAGGGGTGTCTTCTTTCATTTAACCATGACTGAGTCACCATCGCATGCCTGATGATCCCCTTGAGGGGAGGGGGTGGCTCATCTTCACCATGTTCCTCCAACTCCATCATATCCCATCTACTCTTCGATCGCTCTAGTCCTAGTCTGTTATTCCGCACACCACCTTTCCATTCCGAGGAGGGGTCGCTTTCAATGGGTCGCGGCGAGTCCTGCGGGAGCTGTATGTTGGGGTCAATCTGCTGTTGGTCCAATGGTAGTTGTCTTCCTAATAAATGGGGAGTGCTATCTAAAGATCCGCTAATGCGGTGGATCAGGGAGGGGGGAAGGGTCTGAGTCACATCCTTATTCTGGTCATATAGTTCACGGTGAAGCTCCCTTTGGGCGTTGGTATGGTTACCCGTGCTCCACGTTCTTAGGGCTTGATGTGCCGGACATAAATCTACGTGTCGGTTGATGGAATCAACTCCTGAGTACCACGCTTCCTTCAGCAGGCGGCCTCCCTTCTTGGCATCACAGGTCAAGACTTGGGTGTTCTCAAAGTCAAAACGGTGGTTACACTCGGCCATGTGAGCCCAAATCTGCGAGTGTTGTTCGCCTCGTCTAATTGCTAATTGATGTTCGTGCAGGCGTATTTTCAGCCTCTTCGATGTCTCACCTACATAATTACTCCGGCAATCCATACAATTGATCTTGTAGACTACTGTTGATCTCTTGGTGGTAGGGAGTTGGTCCTTAGGGCGCATCACTTTTGTCCGTAGAGTCTGATTGGGCTTGTGGGCCACTTTTATATTGTATGGTGCCAGCAACCTGGCCGTGGCCTCAGAC